CTAAACATAGCATTTGTTCACTGACTGCACACTTACAATCAGGGCTGCGGAGTCAGTAAAAAAACACTCGACTCTGGATAATTTTAGTAGGCCAACTCCGAAACCAGACTCCAGAAAAATTAAATACAAAGTCATTTTATGGGGGGCAGAGGCACTCATTGGGGTTATCCTACTCTGAACTCTAAAAGTATACTCTGTATTGGCAAATTTACAAAATAATTGGAGTTCCACAACTTGTACTTAATAAATATGAAAATGTTGGTAAATCTTGTTAACTATTAACTGATCTATAGGTAGGCAATCTGCAGCAGTTGAAACAGATTTATGTATCACATGGACAAAACAATCAATGCCAATTAAATTGTTATAGTGTTTTCTTGCATTTTGAAGTACAAATTATTCTTTCTATCAAAGTTCGTATTTGTATTATCTGCTGATATAACTATAACCTTTTTCAAGGAGATCAAACTCCTTTAACACTTTCAAACACACAAAAAAAATAACAGTTGTGGAGTTTCACCAACTAAATTAACTAACTCTAACACCTTCTCCTTAACTCCTTTCTCTGCATGTTAATTTTAGCATGCCGCTAATGCATGATAATCTTGTGCCTCTAGGTGTGAAATATTCATGCTTAGAGGCACTCACTTTTTGTCCAAGTAGTTTGATGTGTCAATTAATACTGATATGAAATGAGCTTCTTTCAGATCTTCATTAATCTGCTTTATCGTAAATGGCAAAATAACACTAGTGATTATTTTCTTGCACTTTGTTTGCAAACATCTGAATTTGTCATTGAAAAGTTTTTTATGATAGCAGTTGTGCAGTTCATGGAATGCACAACTGCCATCTGGGGTTATGCACTACCATGTCATAAGCAAAGGTTGCCTCCTCTGCTGCCAGTGATAACTGTTTATCCATTTCACTTCAGGTTTTCACATTTAAGAAGTTACTTATATTGCTGCTGGAAACCTTACTTTGAATAGCACTTTTATGTTTTTTTTTGTTTTTACATGATTGACTATGTCTGACTGACTACCATGTGAAATGGAAAATTTAAAGTTACAAAATGTACATTGCACATTTTCATCTACACCTTTAATAAAGGGAAATTCTCTTCTAATATTATCATTTATACTGCACTTACATTTTGGCATTATATACAATACTGTGTCTATAAATGTATTTTGTTATTTGTAAAAAGTGGGACATTTTGGAAAAAAATCAGAACCCCAGGACATTTTATCAAAAATCGGGACTGTCCAGAAAAAAATAAGACAAATAGGAATCCTACATAAGAACAACAAACTTTTCACTTTGTATTAACTTACTCAGTCTGTTTGAATAAAGCAACTTAATTTTCACCTACTTCTGAATTTCTGATCTACCCAAAACTTTGGACGCATATGAATTCCTGATGACAATACATTTTTTTCGAGTTTTTAACAATTTTAACAATTAGCAAAAAATTAAAATTTGTAAAAATCTGATAGCAGATGATGCTACACATAGGGCAAACCAATACCCTTTTTAACTGTACTGTCTACATAAAAATCTTGTAATTCAATTTTTCTCTCACTCCTAAATTAAATGCTAAAACAAGAAAAATTTCAATAATTCGGTGTTACAAATATAAAAAATAAAGTTTTAAAGAAATGCTTTTTATTCACATAAATGTAGTAAAAAGTAAAAAATAAATTTTCTTCAGCTTTCACAGTATTTTTGGTATTATGCGACCAAAGATAAAGGTGTAATGCATTAATTTAATGCTTTGATAGAAAATGTAACTAAGCTAATTAGTTGTATTTTTTTTTAGTTTTGATTACGTGATACTAAGAATAATGTCAAAGCTGGAAAAAATTATTTACTTTTTAGTATATTTAGATAAATAAAAAGCATTTCTTAATTGTATCATTAGTTAATACCCAAACATCAAATAAATTAGAATGACGATGATCATAATCAAACTTCATTCACATTCACTTTTAGATGCAAGTAAGAGACATTCCAGAACACATATATAAGCAGAATTATTGAGGGGGAGCTGGGGATTATTTCCAGTACTGAGAGAAAACTTGGGGCCCATATGGGTTACTACCCCCCTATAAATTAATGTTACTTTTACTAAAAAGAAATATAATCTTTAAGAGTGCATTTTATTAATAAACATTTTATCCATTTCATTTGTTAAAAAAAAAATAAGAAAGAAATAAGGCAAAGAGAACCATACAAGTGCTCAATGTTCCTGCATATAAATATAAATATAGGATAAATGAAAGACACTTTTTCAGGTTTTAGTATCTCTGAAAATAGTCTTAGATTTCACATAATATCTCATATTTAGTGACCTCTAGTGCCATTAATCTTATTTCTCTGTTACTAATTCTATTACATCATTTTAACTACTTTATTAGAGCAATATTCATAATAATAAATATTTAAGAGGCCAACTTGGCTCAATCTTATTGGTCCATTACAGTAACATCAAAAATACTAGGATGAAAATCCCAGAAAAATATTCAGCAACTTAATTCAACATATATATTGTACAGTACATAATATTTTCTTTCTAACCTATCTAACATTATAAACAATAATAACTTTGTAAAAACAACATCAAGTAGATCTACTTAAAAAATACTGTTACATTTTGTTTGATAGATTCTTTTAATCATTAAACTGAAATATACTTGTTTAAAAATATTCTTTCTTTAAATTAATCTCAGAGCCACAAATCTATAATCAGATTCAACAATGTTTCAGTCTACAGGAAAATAGCTACCGATTTATCATCAGTTATCTTCCATAAAAAACCTTTCGGTAAATTTTTATCAAATATTAACTATTAAATAAAATCTAATTGTCTTTTAAAGTAATACATGCCTTTAATTTTTTCAGTGTTCCATTATTAATAAAAATATATGAACAAACTTGAAACGTTAAATATTTTCCTAAAACCTTATAAATATAAAAATTAATATGCAATCATGAAAATTCCATGTACTGTACAATTTTAATTGTTGAAGTAATTATAATTTTGCTTTGGACATATATCGATTGCAATGTGTGTTTTTGGTTAATGTTCAACGTTTAGTTCATTCTATTCATCAATATCCGTTATTTTATAGTGAAATTTTTTACCAGTAAAACATCAATCTGTGTAGGTCTATTATAAATTACCTCGACCAGTTATAGTCATTTAAACATAGTAGTCTTTAATTAATTTAAACACGAGAATGCTGCTTAATGTTTTGTTATCACTGCCACGGTAGACGTCACTGTCGTTCTATGCACTTTAACCGAAGTGCAAGAACGAATCTCGAGAGCTGTCCAAGTATCCGTCCGTAAATTAGGAAGTAAAGTCAAATTCAGTCGATTTAGTCGTAGCCGGGTAAAAGGTCAATTCCGGGTGAAAGTGTCGTATTCGGGTGAAAGGTCACTTCCAGGTGGCTGTGTCACATTCGGTGAAAATTCGAAATCCGCGCAAGAACGCCTCGGAAGAAAAAGGGTTTATGTTTTCCAGCAGCAAAACAATCTTTTCCATCAAGGCCTTCTACGCTCGACGGATTCTTCCACCATTTCTTCGGACTCTTTTCTTTCAGTCCTGTCTCAGGTGACCGTGTCTCGATCGTCCATTCTGGCACTTCGGGGTATCGCCGCTCCAGATAACGAACGAGAGACGAGACGCTGTCGTCCGGAGTTATGATCACCATCCGTTTGATGTCGGGTGTATGCGATTCCTCCTCCTCCGCAGATTTCGGAAGCACCCATATCACACCAGGCGAAGATGAGGCGCCATCCTGGGGCTTCATCTTTGCCTGGCATAGCCCGAAGTGTTCCACTTCTTCAATTCTTTGAAGAGGTAGAACACTTGAATAATTGAATAATTCATTCAATTCTGCAAAGAAAAATGAGCGAATGTTGTGAAAACAGAACTTGCATTAATTAAGAAATATTCCTATTCTAATGTGAATTGTAAATTTCTAATACAAAANTTAAATATTTTCCTAAAACCTTATAAATATAAAAATTATTATAGATTTATAAAATCTAAAGTATTCAAAATATATAAAAAGTTATGTTAATTATATGCAAATTGCATTAATGAATCTTACAAAATGTGAGAAACTTTCGTATTCTTGAAATAGTTTTCCAAACATCTAAAGTTACACAATTATCACTTTTTGTCAATGTAATTTATGTATATAGGGTATTAGACAAAAATATCAAAGATAAATTGGTATTAAAAAAATTTATGCCGTTATTTAACATGCAGACTTTTTCTTTAATTTTTGACAAATACTTCAAATAGACTCCAAAATCCTATAAGAAGTAAAGACGGCCACATTCAAACGAACATGACCTAAATCATAATTTTCATCTCATCGTTTCAAATTTTGCAAGAAATTCCCAATTTAATCTACACGGGTACAGTTTCGACCAACAATTTCCCCCCAAATATTCGAGAACGAAAATCAATCCTTCAAGACAAAACACAAAAACATTAAAAAATTCAACATGATGTTATTTCACAAATAAAACCACAGAGAATACTAATAAACACCGTAGAAAATCCTTTAAAATTTTTATCTATTTAAATAATAACCTATAAATATAAATCTATCAAAATAACATACGAAAATTCATCACGATGTTACATAAGTAACCGCATGCAGATATAAAATCAATCAAATACAATTTTAATTTCTTATAATTTGATCTCATTGGGCATACAACTTATATAATCTAATCTGATTGGTAGAAACATTATATAGATAAATATATTATAGGTATTGACCTAAAAGTAACTTCTACTTGATTTCATACATACATTTACTGCATATCAAAGGAATAAAGTGAAAACACATTCAAAATACTAAAAAAAAGCATTGGTAACAGAGTATTAATTCAAATAAATATATAAACAGCACGAGATTTTGTTTGAACCAGCCAATAACAATCGGCCTTACTTTAGAAAAATGTTTCCCATACAAACTTACCTTGCACATGATGATACCAAGTTTTACAAACGAGCATGCATTGCTTTAGATCTCTATAAGGAGACAAGTAACTGAAGATATATTCGATCAGCACATCGGGTAACAATTCGATATTAACCACCATTATTGCTGCAGCGACGGGATTTATCAGATGTCATTCATACTGGCCGACATCCCAACACGCCTGAGCCCCCTTCTGTTGACAAAACCCGCGATCGATTATAGTTCAGATGTCGATATCCGCCTTTCTGTATATTTCGTATAAAATATTATCGATTGAAATACTTTCCCATTATTATAAACTAGTACGAATTGCTGCTAAAGCTAACATTTTCAATGAGGATAAAAAATCGTTTTGGATAAATGATAAAAAAAAAAAATTATGGAGAACTTTATTTATCGAGCGGAATAGTAGTTAGTTGGAGAGTAAAATGGCCAGTCGATCCCATGACGCGTTTCCGTCGTAAAATACGAATTTGTTATTTATTCATTTTTATATACGTAATTACAATGAAAAGTTTTATAGTGAAGATTAAAAATAAGTTACAAACTTTTTGCTGGATGCAATAATAATTAAAGTGATCGATTGATCAATGACGTATTAAATCACACTTTTTTTAAAAACTTACCGTTCTGTGGGTACTAAGAGGGCTGTTTTTTAGCAAGCCCGTTATGGGTTCGGCCTAGCCTACAATGGAGCCGGGTAGGGAGGGAGGGAGGTAGGGAGGTAGGGAGGGAGGTAGGGAGGGAGGGAGGTAGGGAGGTAGGGACGGGCGCGGCTTATTCGGACGGTCCACCACCTGCAAAATTTCGGGGCTTTTTCCAGTCGTCTGGAAGCGGTTCCGGTCCCCCAGTGTTGTTACCGTAACCGCTCGGTCAACCGGCCTGTTAAATCGCCCTGTAAATCGTACATATGCGTCACAGAACGTAAAATAATTATTTAATACAATGAAATCTGGTTAACATTCTTTGCAATCAACCACGTGCAAGTCAGTCATGTTGTTTTCTCGTGAAGTCTGCATGTAAAACTCTTTATTTCAATAAAAAGTAATAGTAACTATTTGTCTTTTGTTAATTGAAATAATAATATTTCTTATTTTAATTAACTACGATTTAAATACAACTAGTTACAAGAGATAATGATACTAATGACACGTTCCTTCCATAAGGGAGGCACGTTTCCTGAGGTCCAAATGGCATTGTAAATCCAAAATAGGACGTTCCATTTCGAGACAACAGTAATGCCAAAAGATTTAATGGAGCGCCGTCTCTGGAATTTTGTGACTGAATAGTCAATGTTGGCTACTTTATCGAGGGCAATTTATTTGGTAATTTTAATGCAAAACTTGCTGCACAATAGTTCCAAATGATTTAAATACTATTTTCCACCACATCTAAAAAAGACAATGCCACTGCCAAGAGCCCCTCGAAAAGAGAAAGATAATTTAGATACAAATGATATAGATGGTGGAATTGGCCCTTCATCGAAGACGCTTCATCTGCGAGCACCAGGACTTGATAGTGTGAATGGTGCTTTAATTAATAGCATCAATGCCGCAAGCTACCGTATCAAATTTTATTTCTTAATCATTACCTCATCCTGAGATATTAACTCTTGGACATCCTATTGTCCCCTTGTTATACCTTGTGGATAAGAGGCATTAATGCTATTAAACTGGTGGTTTTGAGTCGCTATTAAGGAAGCGAACAAGCTTCCTTGGTAGCGACTCAAATTGACAAATCTTGTGAAGTAACGACTCGAACGAAATTTTGCTAATAAAATGGCGTATTGTGACAGATGCCAAATTTTAAAGTTCTTAGAACGGGCGATTTCAGAGGTCAAAAATTATCGTCTACCTAACATTCGAAGTACGGCGAAGTTAATTGAAAATTTTGCAATAATTTTAACTTTACAGAAACTTGTATTTAATGTTTTATATATATAATACAACAGAATATGCTAGGTGGAAATGCAGATTAGTTAAGAATTTAATACAGTATATATTTTCGCCTAAACATAATTCATATTTTTTAATGCATAATTGTTAAAACATTTTAAATAATAAGTTATTTTTTCTACAAATTCTCTAATCCATTGGTTTGCTTTTCAAATCAAATCCTGTGGAAACTTAAGTATAGACACTGGATATATATTTTCCTATGCAACCAGATATATACAAGGCATACAGGGCATACAACACATACAAGGCATCTAGAAATAGTTATTTATTAGTATGGTAATATTATTTTAACAAAAAATAAAAAAGGGTTAAAAAAAAATAGCTTACTATGAAAACATTACAGGACAAATGTAACATTACTTTTTCCTGACACTTATATTGATAAACAATTTCCATGACGAAATGTATGGAAATTCTTACTTAAAACATATATAACTTACATAAAATGTAAAATTACAAAAAAAATTATATTTTTCTTTCCCTTCTGACTTGGATAATATAAAACTTCAATTTTTAAAAAACAAGCCAATAATGACTATAAAAGTTTTTTAAAAAGAGTTTAAAAAGGTATAAAAAAAGAAAATAATCTGCAGAGAAAAAAACTTTTATTTACATTATTACTAACAAGCTTCCCAATAATTAGTAATAATGTAAATAAAAGTTTTTTTCTCTGCAGATTATTTTCTTTTTTTATACCTTTTTAAACTCTTTTTAAAAAACTTTTATAGTCATTATTGGCTTGTTTTTTAAAAATTGAAGTTTTATATTATCCAAGTCAGAAGGGAAAGAAAAATATAATTTTTTTTGTAATTTTACATTTTATGTAAGTTATATATGTTTTAAGTAAGAATTTCCATACATTTCGTCATGGAAATTGTTTATCAATATAAGTGTCAGGAAAAAGNTTTTTAAACATATATAACTATTATATTCAAAGGAATTTAAATACTTACAGTATTATTGATTGTTAAATAATTTATACAAGAATTCTATACTTTTAATTTGAAAAATGATCATACAAATTTGAATAAACATATTTACAGATATATCCATGATGGAACTGTATATATGAAATTTCTGTAAATTTGGAAAGTATTGTTTCTTAACACACAGATTTTGAACTGCCATTCAAAAGCACAAAGTGTCTATTGACAGAAAGAACTGTCAATTCTAACTTAAGCATTAAAAAATATTTTCTGATAAGAGTAATCTATGGAGAATATTCTTTGTTCAAAATTGTTCAATAACTTTTACATTTAAACTTTATAATTTGTTAAGCAAGATTTGTGAACATTTCTCTTTCAGAGGTATACAAAACTTAGTTAATTTTATTGTTTCATCTATATTAAATGCATGTTACAAATTCAAAAAATATTTTGACTTGTTTTAATTATAAATTTCGTCCTTTCTTGAACTTTTTATGAATAATATCTGTAATAAAGTATAAATTTTCTGTTATTTATTATCTGTGCACATAAATTTAAAACACTAATCACACCAGTGCCGTAACTAGCCATTATTGTGCCCTGTGCAGGAATTTGCATTTAGGCCCCTTAATTAGTTTTGGGAAAATAAAACAAATACATGCATTTTGGGCCCCTCTTTCAAGTGGACCCTGTGCAGGTGAACCTGCCTAGTTACGGCACTGAATAACACTACTAAAATGATCTATTGAGTATGATTTGGTTCAGAGATCGAGTATAAAGCTAAAATGTTCAAAAAAAAATAAATAATCTTAGTAATTTATTAAGTAAAAGTAAACCATTTAAAAATTTTTTTGTATAAAAGGGCTGGCAGAATTACAATTTAATAAAAAGTAAAATACATCTGGAGTAAAATTTAATAAAAAGTACAAATACTATCCAGATGTATTTTACTTTTTATTAAATTATAATTCGAGTACCTGTGGACATTTTAAACTGTTTTGCATATTTGTGAAGAGGCATAGCCTCTAAAGAAAGGTTGTCTCTACAATGGAAATAGTTGTTTCTGGTGATTGGACATGGCAAGCAAAATTGGACTCGTATCCAGTCATATTTTACTTTTTATTACACTTTAAAATTATTCCTATATATTTAAGAAAACATGCGAGCTAAACTTTATACTGTATTTTCACTTTATACTCACTCCATATTACAACTAAAAAAAATAATCTATTTCGTCATGATTCGTTCTGACGACTACAAAATATAACCTATACTTCAGTGGGTTGACGTCACTCAGCTGACCAATCAGCACGTTGTGCCATCTGGATATTTAGTAGCACGTGTTTGGAAGCTGTCTTGTATTCGATAATACAGCGCTTCCATTTCGCTACTGATATTCAAATATACAATAGCAATATTATTGTTTTTTTCACACGTAGTATAGAAATTTATAATAAGATACATAATGCGGTTATAATAAAATATTAATTTTAATTAATTCAATGTACGTTAAAATATGAAAATAATCGCACAATATGTATTTATATTTTAGAAAATACAAGGGAAGCTGCGCTTTCACCGCTTCCAAGGACGGCAAAGTAGCGTAGTTCTTTGAAATCGCCACCATTTTTGGCGGCCATCGCTATGACGGGCAAAAAGCTGCGCGTTTCGCTAATATAAACCACAGATTAACACCCGAACAAGTTATTTATTTTTTCGTTTCGACGCTGCTTAAATAATTACTGTTATAATTTAAATAGTTAAAAACATTTAAAAAGTTGAAAACGACACAATATTACGATGAGGAGAATTTATTTCTTTAAAATCTTTCCACTAAAAGAAAGAAACACAGATTAAATTATAGACAAAATTTTAAGTGTTTTTAAGATAACATAATCTGTCATTCTATTTTAGTTAGAAGATTTTTAAAAAAATAAAGATCGTATTTAAATTGTTTATAATTAAAAAACGCTACAACTAAGAAATAATATAAATAACAACACAATATATATTAAAGCATAGTTAGGTTTATTTTAGATACTAGTTTTGATAGCGAAGCTATAACGGTGTTTTGATTCACGCTGCCGTATTGTTCTTTCTTAATAGTATATTACTGAAAGAATTATAAAATGATAATAAACAGATTCTGGCAATAAACTATACATTCATTTAATCAAAAATCGGTAACTATTAGTAAATTAATTAAAAAAGTTAGCCTGATATAAAATTTCATAAGTTTTATTAAATGTAAAGTGTACAGTGTACACTTTACATTTAATGTACAGTATACACTTTACATTAAAATGTACAGTGCAATCATGAAAATTCCATGTACTGTACAATTTTAATTGTTGAAGTAATTATAATTTTGCTTTGGACATATATCGATTGCAATGTGTGTTTTTGGTTAATGTTCAACGTTTAGTTCATTCTATTCATCAATATCCGTTATTTTATAGTGAAATTTTTTACCAGTAAAACATCAATCTGTGTAGGTCTATTATAAATTACCTCGACCAGTTATAGTCATTTAAACATAGTAGTCTTTCATTAATTTAAACACGAGAATGCTGCTTAATGTTTTGTTATCACTGCCACGGTAGACGTCACTGTCGTTCTATGCACTTTAACCGAAGTGCAAGAACGAATCTCGAGAGCTGTCCAAGTATCCGTCCGTAAATTAGGAAGTAAAGTCAAATTCAGTCGATTTAGTCGTAGCCGGGTAAAAGGTCAATTCCGGGTGAAAGTGTCGTATTCGGGTGAAAGGTCACTTCCAGGTGGCTGTGTCACATTCGGTGAAAATTCGAAATCCGCGCAAGAACGCCTCGGAAGAAAAAGGGTTTATGTTTTCCAGCAGCAAAACAATCTTTTCCATCAAGGCCTTCTACGCTCGACGGATTCTTCCACCATTTCTTCGGACTCTTTTCTTTCAGTCCTGTCTCAGGTGACCGTGTCTCGATCGTCCATTCTGGCACTTCGGGGTATCGCCGCTCCAGATAACGAACGAGAGACGAGACGCTGTCGTCCGGAGTTATGATCACCATCCGTTTGATGTCGGGTGTATGCGATTCCTCCTCCTCCGCAGATTTCGGAAGCACCCATATCACACCAGGCGAAGATGAGGCGCCATCCTGGGGCTTCATCTTTGCCTGGCATAGCCCGAAGTGTTCCACTTCTTCAATTCTTTGAAGAGGTAGAACACTTGAATAATTGAATAATTCATTCAATTCTGCAAAGAAAAATGAGCGAATGTTGTGAAAACAGAACTTGCATTAATTAAGAAATATTCCTATTCTAATGTGAATTGTAAATTTCTAATACAAAAATAGTTTTAATAAAATAAAAATTTTTATTTTTATTAAAAATTTTTATTTTATTAAAAATAATTCTCCATCGGACGAACTTTTACAAACAAAAATAGTTGTTGTAATTCCTTGAATATTATAATAAAATCGTTATTTATTATATACTGTGTAATAACTTTAATCTTTTCGATGATTTTTAATGTTGTATACCAGTAGCGTGCCGTCATTGGAAGCGGTGGATGCGCCGCTTCCCTTGTATTTTCTAAAAAAATAAATACATATTAATTTTAATTATATGAAAATAATCGCACAATATTTTATTATAACCGCATTACGTATCTTATTACAAATTTCTATACTACACGTGAAAAAAAAAATAAGATTGCTATTGTATATTCGAATATTAGTGGCGGAGTGGAAGCGCTGTATCGTCAGCATCCAAAAAAGCCAGATTAGCGTACGCGCTTTACACAGCACCAACCTCACCCGATTTAACCGGTGGAAGCCTAGGACCTTGGGTGGATGCTACACGTATACCGCATCCAATTCTATCCGGGACCGGTTCTGGGCTGTTAGTCGCCTGCCCGCTAGATATTTGGCCGCCCTCGCCCGATTACGTGAATCACGAGTAGATTGGTTGATCGGTTGGGTTAAGTTTATAACTTAACCCAACCGATAAGAATTTACTGGTATGTTTTTATGATAGTTCTTTATAGTTTACAGGAGTTAAAAAAAAATCCATTAAAATATTTGATATATTTATTCCGCTCTCCGATTTTATATTACTAACGGATTTCAATGTTAAACTAGTGATATTACGATTTCGTACGGCCCATCTGTAAGGGGATGTATAAAAAAACGTGTACGATTCTTGTATAATGTTAAAAAATTAACTGTTACTTTGACAGCGTCATTTACAACTAAATTTAATGAATGAGAGAGACGCACGAGGTACAGAAAAAGCTCTAGAATTTATTTTCCTTAAATTTATGATTTATGTATCCATTTGTCATAAAAATTTGTCTTTCCACTTTTTTCCCAAGACTACAAATATTCGAGTACAAAGTAACTGGTTTCGACTTATTTCTACTTAAGAAGTAGTTAAATAATTAAGCGATTAGGGAATTGGGAACGCAAACAAAACCCTGATGAAAGAGTCGAAATTTTATTTAAACAAAAGCTTAACCGAACCATCTCTAGCCGAGTACACTGGAGACTGATTTCTTCGTATTATTAATGTAATAAAGATAGAAATTTTTCCAGTTCAATGAGAGTGACCGAAAAGTTGTAAATTTGGAAATTTCCGTGAACACCTGGTCCTAAAACGAATTAGTTAGAAAACAAATGACTATTACGTTTAACATATTTCGATTTTTACAGCTACGGTGAGAAACGTTTAAAATCTACAACAGCCCTGTGGCATCCTTTGAGATATACTAGTGATGCGACAAAAGAGGTATTTTACTTTGACCCTGGGGATTTGGCAATCCGCGTGTATGCACGCTTTGCAACCGTCTTCGATTCCATCCATTCGTAGGGAGCTATTTGACTAAGTGCATTAAGATTTAAAAAGTAAAGAATAGTTTATATTTTTATGTACGTTTCTTTACAAAGCTCTATTTAATTATAATTTTATTTAAAAGTATATTCATACAATTGAAGAATATTTTGTACCAGGTATGTACATCCACCACACATTTTATTTCACCAAGTAAGTTTTTATTATTTATTTTATTTTTAATTGTAGCCCTTATATCGTGGTTAGCGATTCGGAATGTAATTGTGATATTAAAAATGCATTTAGAGAAGTCTACGGTTTTTACTGGCTTATCGAATAAACGATACGAATGGACCTTAGACCATCACTGACGCGCAATTGACTGATTGCCCCTGGA